ATATCAAACCATTTCTCTCAAAATCTTTTCAGTTTTTTCGTTTAACTTATTTCATTTAAACGTCGGTCAAATTTTATGCTCAACTAACCGTCAGTTTCTAACGGTGTTCGCTATTCAAGAAAATAATGTTTCCGTAAAATAAGACTAGTAGCTTCTTCCTATTGAATATCCACCGTGAAAGAACCGTGTATCATATTAAATTACTTATAAGTTGCGAGCAGTAGGTATTTAGTGATTTCAAAATGAACAATCGTTCTCGATTGGTGTATCAAGTTATTATTCGCGGATAATTTGAACAGTTAGGAAAATCGCTCGATCAGCAATTTTCAAAAATTGAAAAGGAAATTCTATATCCACATCATCTTCAAGAAATTTTTTAAAGGCGAATTCCAGAGGTTAGGCAAAACGCGCAAGGTGTATAGGATAAAAATTACGCAAAATCTGTACAGAACCCTTACAAAAAAGAACTACTGCCGATTACATATAAATAAAATCAATACCCTAATATAAATATTACTGACAATCACATAAGAATATTATTAGATATTACAGGAATCACTGAGAATATTACTGGCAATTACACAGAATGCCAGTAATTTTTTCGTGCCACTGCCGCAATATATTACTGCCAGTAGTTCTTTTTCGTAAGGGAATATTATCATTTGTTTGATTTCTAGTAAAAAATTTTATTTATAAATACCTATTATATTTTTTTTGATAAAACATTTTAAATTAACAACAGTGCGTGATTATTGAATCGAGCGAACACCCTGGAGTAAATATTACCTACCTACTTTTGTGTGCGTCAATGAGTCTACTAAGTCGTATTTTACTAGGATTTAAATGGACTGTTTTTTTTTTCATGCCCCTTCGATTCGAATAAAACTTACGCAGATAGATAGGAGAGAAGAGATCAAATATATCCTCAGCGCGCATGTAATCCTGCATAAGCTCGACCCTAGTAGCGCAATAAAATGCAACGCGCGGTGCTTCGAGCACGCTTCACAATGCAAGGCAAATCAATGATTTGCCCGACAGTACTTTGACGCGGGCTTAATCCCGGTTTTACATGTGATTATAATCTAGGATGGAAGCGTCAAGGCGATTGATGTCGTTAACAAAAATGCATCTAAATCCGAGCAATGCCGTAATTAGCTAAGTGAGTTGGGATTTTTATTTCAAGATATTTTTTTTTTTTTTTTTGTAGAGTATTTACTTCAAGAATTATTTGCGTAAATTTGTTTAGATTATTGTAACATTTCGCTGAATACCTTGATGTTGTTACAAACACACAGTTTTCTCCTGACAAGTTTTGCGGGTGGTAATCGAACTCACGATCTGTGATCGACTCTTCGCGACCTCACTGTAAAACCTAAAAGCAGCAACCCACGTCACTCCGAGATGAATGCCTGGCTGTGGGTCGGGCATTCTTCAAGTAAATTATAGTCTTGAATGGGTGGCGCGACGGGGGGTTGGTTGGCACGCGCACCACTGGGGTACACCTGCCCCCCGTAGACATCTGTCCCCCTATGAGTCTAACGTTGAAGTCAAACTACGGGGTACGTATGCGCGCACGTACGTGAATGCATTTGCATGTATGTAGGTGTATACGCTGCAATTCCTGTCAAGTTGCTGTCATCGGTTTTGCGAAACCGTTCATTTTCGCGACACCGGTGATTATAAAAAAAAACGGCAAACTGAGGATTTTCGGATAATGTTTCATAGCGACAATAAGTCATTCTCTCTCCGTATATAATATAGCGTTAGAAAAGAATAATAAATAATATTTTATATTGTGTGCCACTCTCTTTCTGCTCCAACACAATGAGTATATGATATTAGAAACTCTAAATTTTATTATAATTTAATAATATATTAATATAAATTGTATTAACTAATGTTAATAACATCCAATAATGTTAATAACGCACGCCTAAAATCGCAGAAGTAATTTGCGCTTGCTTAATGCCTCGGTTTGCGTTTATCCGGCAATGCATCATGCAAGACTAGGGAGTGCGCGCACATTAATTCGCGGTCCGTCCTAATTAATTTCATGATCCGGGACGAGATGAGGCGAGGGTCGCCGACCGGCCGTGCAGCTCAAATACGGCTTTTCATATTTTAGCGCGTACGAATCATCAAGGAGAAACTCTATATAGTGGAGTTTTACGCGTACGGGGATCCATCGCGCGCGCGTAACGTGACGCGTAGCGTAACCGGTATTGTTCGTGGTTTGCCACAAAGGCCTGCAAATGCCGATTTGCAATGAAAAGCCGGTCGCTACCTCCCCTCCAGCACGTCTAAACAGATGCGGAAATACGATGCTTGCCTGAATCTTCCGCGTTTGCACCGACTCGAAAGACGACTTTTAGGACGAAGGAAAATTTGTATTAGCGACGGAGAGAAGTCCCGGTCTTGGCAGACGCGGCCATTAATCTCCGATTAAGTGCTCAACGATCGGTCAAGGTAATTTCACGAGTTTTCCTGAATCAGGAAAGATTGTCTCGCCCTCTTTCTCCCCTGATGACCGTGCCACCGTATCCGTGCCCGATTCCGTCCGCTCCCTTCTTCTTTCTCTTTAACAGGGGAACCACCGTTTCTGTCAGCTACCAGTATGTCACCGTACAGACCAGCGCGCCGGTACAATGAGGGCCGACTGTGGCGATCGATATGAGCACTCAACAGAAACGACCAAACGAAAGGTCGATCGAAGCGAAATCACTGCGTCTGCGAGCTCGTGTCGTGCAAAAAATATTCTACTTGTGGAAAACGACGGAAAGGATCGTTACGCATTTATGTAACTTTCGTATAATCGAGGATTATAAAAAAAAATAGCAAGACAAAGACTATAATGTTATAATGTACCTTAAAGTTTCAATTTATCATCGCGTTTAATGTGTTGCACAAGTAAAAAAAAGCAGTGGAAATATTATACATATGTATATTGTCTACTGTTTCTTCTCACTTTTGAATCTTTTAAACTTCTTAAAAATCGCTTTTTTTTGGAAAATATATAATAGTAAAATAGACGCGCGCACAATAGAACTGTTTGTTGCGTCGTTTATACACGTTATTAAATTTTTTTTTATTAACACGAGCATTGATGCAATGTAAGCACGGGGTGTAAGCTCGCGGCAAAAACTGATTGAATCCCCCAAAATCCAACACCTTTATGGATGCTGGCCGTCTGTCGCGCGCGGCTATGCACACATTGATATATCGTCCGTATAATAGCGCCATTGAAGCATTACTATTATTGGCGAGATTTAGGGAAACGATCGAGCGTGCTAACGGATTCGTCGCAGCTTGCACGCTGTTTGCAAATAGATTTTGTATAGGAAATTATGATTCGCGCAGCTCCGCGGAGTCCTGATGGATCGCTGCCGAATGAGCAATCCGCTCGATTAGTCTTATCAGTTTATAGCGAAACAAAATTTAATTTTTACTAAGAAATGAATAAGAATAAGATCATACGAGCCGCTTTGCAGGATGTCATGCTGAAATGTTCTATTATATATATGTATACATATATATATGATCACATGTAAATTTTTACACGTGTTTTTTGAATTGAAATTTTAATTCTTAAAATTATACAGTATGCTATACTTGCATTTCATGTATGAAAGACCCCGAATACCCGAATAGAATTGAAATTTCAATTCAAAAAACACGTGTAAAAATTTACATGTGATCATATATATATGTATACATATATATAATAGAACATTTCAGCATAACATCCTGCAAAGCGGCTCGTATGATCTTATTCTTATTCATTTCTTAGTTGTTACTTCAAGAGAGCCTTTAAGTTTCTTTATTAATTGTTAATTTTTACTGTTTTTAATAATAGAAAAAAGTGTCTGAAGTTATTCGCAAAAAATGTCTTTTCTTTCTACAAATACACAATAAAAGTAGTAAAATAAACGGTACCTATTATAATGCAATCTCTGACCGCATATGTCGCAATAGTTAATCATAGACTAATATTATTATAGCGAACGCGGGGTGTGGAAAAGTGGATCTCGGAAGTAAAGTGAAATTTTCTCGAGAACCACAGACACGAAAATATTATCCTTATATTCAGGATGCGCCGGGTGGCTGTTTTGACAGATCCTCTCTCGTCTCTCGCTCGCTGTTTGATCGAACGATCGAACTCGCCTATTTATTTTGCTAACACTTGGTCGTCACGCTACAACGAGAGGGGATATCCGCACAACACACTTACACTCGTTATGTAAATTGCTTTCTCCATCGACACGCTTTTGCATAATAAACGAGCGATTGTTCTCTTCGAGTGTAATAAACTTAGCGCATCAATTTTTTGGACGTTACATATACGTGTTAAAGTTTATGAACTATAAAATAATAATTGCGGGTTGCGATTTGAAATTGCGCAGAAATAAATAAAGAGAAGAAGAATCACGCGCACAAATCACTCGGCTGTCGTAGCTAATTAGAAAATCTGTGACTATAGTTACGCAATAGTCACGTCAATCGGACGTTTTGCAGTCATGTTTTAGCGTAATCCATCGGATTATACGGGTAGAACTAACTTCGGACACGATTTGTGTGTGATACATCTGCTCTGCGGTAGCTTTAACGCAGGACGCGTGTTCCGACACGTGTCCGTCCGTTCTCGAAACTATTTCATTCCTGTAAAGTGGATCCTAGAACATTTCGATATGTGGGAGAGTGTGAACAATAAAATTTGACTTTTATGTCACGCTAATTTTCTAATCTCACACTATCGAATAATACACAAAGTTTAAACATTATTGCATTTATATATTTTCTAGTATTTATATACTATTTTATCGTTTATATTATACAATTAAATAAAATATAAATACAATTGTAATAAAAATATGTTATACAAAAAGAATGTTTAAAAAAAAAAAGACTAGATTGTCAGGTTGTTATTTAAAATATGTTTTTATTGACAAAAAGTATAATTTATGTACATTATATATTTTCCCTGAATTGGCATTTTCCGAATTACAATAAGAGCACTCTTTCCGACGAACGTGTAGTATACATTTCTATACTTAATAACTTAAAACACATAAGATATCCCTGAACAAAAAAAAATGAGATCGAGCGTTCGAGATCAATTATAATAATAATAATAATAATAATAATGACTAGAACAAAAGGAACGCAGATAGTATGATGTTTAAAAGCAAACCATCTATTAAATATTAATTACGTCTAATTAACGTTTAATGATAGTTTTACTTTTTTTTTGTTGCTTCATTTATATCAAGCTCACTCTTCAAAAGTAACATATAAAAACGTACGTAGTGATTTTGAATTAAAAGCGTCGGTTTCGGCAAACGTATCTTTGCGCATCTCGATTTATTCTACTAAGCTAAATATCCAATCCGCGCGACGACTCTCCTTAAATAAAATACTCTCTCTTACAAAGTAGATAACGATGATCATAGTACATTATCTCTCCTCTTTACAAACCACATTAGCTCTTTGGAAAAGTGCGCGAACTTCTCGTCAGCAGCAATAAACATATATACTCAATTTTTTCAAAATTGCCAAGAAAAATCTTTCTCTTTCTATTATAACACTAGTTATGAATTAGCAGAAAGACAAAAGACGAAGATTAACAGACAGAGAAACCAAACGTTCGAACGTATGAGGATCGAACGTGTTTACTGTTTCGCGCACTGTCAACGTTTAAAGACACTGATACATATTATTGTGATGAGGCATGTGATGATGAGACGGCGGCGGCGGCAGCTGAGAACGATGTACCTGGTACATTCTCTGATCGAAGCAGGGCTGGTACTGCATCGGCGGACTCACGCTCTGGTCGCTGTAGCAATCGTATTCCTGCCATTCCGGCGCGACAAATCGCTCCTGAGGTGGATAAGGAGAAAAGGCCGCGGGGTGCTGCGGTCCGAGCCTCTTCTGAGCCGCGACCGCGCAGCTGCCGGTCGACGAAGTGATCATGTTGCCATTCTCGCCAATGCTGACGGTAACATTGCCGACGTTGACCGTGATCTCGCCGCTCTCGGAATTACCCAGCGTCTGCGACAACGCCCAGATGTAGTTGTGCGCGAATCGCAGCGTCTCGATCTTCGTGAGCTTCGTGTCCTCCGGAAACGTCGGCAAAGCCATCCTGAGACGTTCAAGAGCGTCGTTCAGGGTGTGCATTCGGTGACGTTCGCGGTCGTTCGCCTTTATTCGCCGGTTCCTCTTCAATCTCAGCACCTGTTGGCAGAGAATTTACATCGGAGCGTCTTGAGAAGATTGTCTTGCGAAGAAGATGATAAAACAAAAAACAAAAAGCGTAGACAGATAAGAGAAATCTCAAAAGCGTGTAAACGATTATATTGATTCTTCAGGAGTTTAAGGAATTAGTGTATGTACCTGCGTAGGACTTTTGCAACGAGTGTTCCGCGGTTTTTTACGTTTCTCCTCTTTAGCCGGAGGAAAAAGATTGTCGCTGTGCATTTCGTGTTTCGGCGATTCAAAGCTCACGTCGAAACCAGAATCAGAAGAGCTCGAGAGTTCATCGAAGCCTCCCTCGCTACAAAAGGAATATTCCGACGGCATCACCGTGTCTTGCTGCAATGCAAAAATGACCGAGCAACCTTACACACTAATTCTTTTATTCCCGTCATATGTTGTGAACATCGTAATTTTGTGATAACATGAAAAAACAAACAAATAAACAAAAATATATTTCTCTCTAAAAATATATATTCTTATATCGTAATATCATATATCTTATAAGTTTTGTTGAGTGTATCAGAAGAGCTTTACATTCAGTTACAAACTTTTTTTTACAATTTTTTTTACACAGGTAAGAAGAATAAATAATTTTTATTTTAAAGTTCCAAAAGAACAATCACGTACCATCTCAAGATCCAATGGCTCTTGTTATTCCAAACTTCGTTGATTCGCAAAGATACGTTCAATGATCATAAGTTTTCTGTTTGATGCTTTTTTTTTAAAAAACTTGTGGTAGCAAGTTTTATATTTTCTGCAATGACACACAATTTGAGATAGGAACTGCACTTTCAAAAGAGATCTCGGGACGAATGAGAACGTTAACAAAAATTCGTATCACAAAGCGAGACCGAGAGAGCGACGAACGAGACGGGAAACGAGAAAATAAGAATTTACCGCGGAGCGAACCAGGCGGGGCACAATTTGGTACTGTGTATGTGGCGAGGGGCTCTTAGAACATATATACCGTCCCGGGGGTATTTCGCCCCCTCCACGAGCTCAGGGCCACCGTGAGGCTTTATGGGGCACCGGGAGAGTTCACCCCATAAGCACCATAGAGGGGTACCTCTACTTCCCTCTTCGCTCCTCCTCCTTCTTGTGTATGCTTTAGACGCGTGCCACAGCGATGTAGCCTTGTTAGAAGATTAGAGGTTTTTAGGACGATTACACCGTTGCGAGATTATCATGTACGTGTGGAACCCGAGGTTATTGAACGAACAAATCGAGTGTTGTATTTTGTTTTTTTGTAAAATTTATTGTTTGGTTTTTTTAAAGCAACGTGTCCCTTTTTTCCCCGTAGTGTTTAGATATGTTTGATATGTACCGTCTATCTGTAAAGTACGACGGGTTAATCACAAACAGGCGCGTTTCTAATTCCTTAGAAACAAAGTAAAACATATATACGTTTGCATTTAGTCGATGATCGCTCTAACACTTTGCAACTTTTCGCTATCTGATTTCTAGATCTTCTAACATTTTGGAGCATGTTTTCGCTGTCTGATTTCTAAATTTTTTACGAAAGTGTTTTTATATATATATATAATAAATTAATTAAATAATATATTACTTACAAATTTTATAAACTTTTTCAGGAGGTAGAAGGTTGGTATCTCAGACTCACAACTAACGATCGAGCACGTTCTACGACTACAAATAAGTGTTCGATAATCTAATAAAATCAACGAGACCATATGTTACATTCGCTAATCAGCTGATAATGTCCGGCACATTGCTATAGAAACCTCACGCTGTTAACAAGAAAATTTAAACGAACGAGATTGCGAATTCTATGAAAATCGCGACTTGTCATTTTTATAGCACTTAGCGCATTTTATGAACAACAATATTTTACTTGTATTTTGTAAATATAATTTTGCAGAAAGTAAAGTTTTAAAAAAATATATATATAAAGAACGATAAATGGAGAAAACTATATTATATTTTTTTTTCATTCAATCAAAATTACAGAATCAATAATACGACAAAATCTATGTATTGATCGGCGCTTATTACGATAGTTTATCTAGTAAATAAGTGCGTGTTCTATATTAGAGAAAAAGAACTATAAAGCGTCTTTATCAAAAGTGTATGCTTAATAACGCGACATGAAATATGAGTTTGTAAGAGGATATTGATAAAGCGTGAAGATAAAGATATACTTTTGGGATTTTTTAAATACTCGAAAACGACGATATTTTGAATGTTACGTTCATAAACGATATTAATAGAGCTTCCAAGAGAGAGAGACACTGAGTTCTTTTTGATCGCGATTGCGACTCTATCACGAATAATATAAGATTGGCACCTAACGCACACGGGAACGAACAATATCAAGAACACGTGTCGACTGTTTGCGCGGGGATTTGTTATCGAAGGATATTCACACATTCTGAGTGTACTGTCAATAATTTGTTCAACCGAAACAAACAGATCCGAGCTGCTCGCTTTTTCCGGTAAAACCGGATCGCTCGGATCTTCGACTTCGCGTCTGATATTTGACGGAAATCGCGTGCGAATTGACACGCGATCGTGACACGTGTTACTCTACTCTAGGGGACAAATGTAAAAATGTCTTGTCTATTTATACAATTCGCGCGAGAAAAATAAAAAAGTAGGATAATCAAATTTCGAATCGGAAATTCGTAATCTTTGGTATACGACACATTTGAATTCTATATTTTGTCAATATTGCGCGTGAGGTGTAACAACAAAATTTTGTAAGTGTCAATTAACGGTGTAACACAACAAACCACAGCGTGTGCGTGGTCACGTGACCACTTTCGTCGCGCGCCACCGATTTTTGCGCTTGGATTTCTCTTGCGCTCCAAAAATGATGGAAGATGGAGTGTTTATTACGCAGGAGATTACGCAGTACCGTTCGACAAATTTGCATAATTGTAACGTTCCACGGTAGCAATTTTCCGTACGGTTGCTGCATTGTACACTGATAGATGTACATCGACCGACTTGGCACACACAGATTCACACTTTCGACGTAACAGCTATCTCATAGCTGTTACGTCACAGTGTTTTCTTTAAAACACGTTAAACTATCTATTATTTAAAAAAAAAAAGAGAGAGATGCACAAGTACGTTTCTCTGTATAGGTGTTTCGCGTACATTGACTTCAAATAGAAATTAGTATATAAAAATAATAAAATAATAATGTTGCAAGTTTGAAATTATCACGACAAGATAAATTGCGTTAAAAAAAGAACGTTAATGCAATTTTTCATTAAATCCCAAACGGAAGTTAAATAAGATTTTACTGCAACGCGCTCACGACACCGGCTTGAACGAAACCACTTTCTCCGCGCGAGACTACATCGCTATATTCGGCACGATGTGTCTTTGAATCACATGGAAGACGCAACGATGCAAGAAGTAAACAATTAATTTTATGATCGTTAGATTGTAACGAGCGAAAAATGTGCAAGTTGTCATAAGTAATTGAGAGAAAATCGAATACACACGTGTAATAATTAAAAATAATTTAGTTGCATATTTTTTGGTTATTTTTACGAGCGCACAATATTGGAAAAATTTGAACTCACAATCGCCACCTTATATTTTTATGACATTTACCAACATACATCTTGTTATGCGATGTCAGACGTGTATTCTTTAAAGAAGAGAAGGTCCAACCCTTTTCACACTTTGAAAATTCGCAGCGCGATAAAAGGTCGCCGTGAAATCGACGCCGTTGCGGACACATGTTCGATCAGCCAGCGGAAATATTGGAAATTACACGAAAGATTTGTCCCAGAGGCGTGTAGAATCGAAAATCAAATAAAAAAAGGGGCGTATAGATGCCGATCGCGTTCACTCGTGGAACGGAACCGTAAAAAAAAAGGGTTCGACTGCGATAAAGACGATCCGCTCTGATTGGATAATTTATTGGCGAAGGGCAATCAATGAAATTGGCACCAACTGCCTTTGCAGGTATCCGTGAAATATAACTGCAAACTGCGAAACAGCCGTTTGTGCAGTTATTTCTAATATTTCTGTTCCCTTCTTTCTTGTTAGAAAATTCTTTTTATAATCACAGCCGTTAAATAATTAGTGAATTATTCCGCTACTCATCCGCGCTAATTAGTGCGAGTGAAAATGAATGTTTCGTCAGATCTGTTCTTTGATTTTCCAAGAAAATGTTACAACACCCGGCAGCGGTCGTTCAACCGCTGAAAATAGCGATTCTCCGACGCAATCGGTTCGCGATAATTACGCGCGAGAGAAGAATCGTGCCAATTTTCAAAAGGTTTCGCCGACGCGCTAGCGTGCGTGAGAAGTGGGTTATCTAACTGACAACACCCCTCCGTGCTTCATGTACTAGTTCACGGGAGTTTTCCCATCGTAACAGGACGTTCGCAACGACGTTCTACGAGTTGCAGAGAAAGAAGCGATTGTGTCGATGATGCGCTTACGCTGGCATCAGAGACGTAAAAGCAGCATCATCATCTCTCCCACGCCTCCGCCGCTCTGCTCTTCGTGGTCTTCGCTATCCGCGTGCGTAGTTTATTATCGTACAAACTGGTCGCGCGCGCGCGCGCGGGATGCAACGTGCTTTTCGCGCATCTCTGCAGCTTCGCAACGTGCAAGAATATTTGCCATCGTCAGATGTTAAAAGAGATTTAAATATCGAAAAAAATTTTTAAAAATTTTATTTATTGCTATTTTTCTTTGTATATAATTTTTCAACTGTGATAAAATATATTTTATTTTCTTTGGAAATTTTCAAATACCACATAATTCGAGTAAAAATCTTACATAGTAAACTATATCAATACGTTTATCCTTCAGGAGTTACGACATCACGATTTCGACATCACGGTGTGTTATGAAAACCGAGACACGCGCACAATCTAGGAGAGACCCAGAATTCAATCCGGCGCCTATTTCTGGGCAGCTTGGATTAGGTCTTGGATCGGGCGCGTTGTCCTGCTTGTATACACAGAGAAGAAAACAATCTCTCCTGTGTTCGACTTTAAGTGCCGTCGGCTGTATCCGTCGAAGGTGGAGCCGCGTGTTCTCTCGCTTTGCGGCCTTTGCTAACTGTACAAATCCCCTTCTCCGTTCGCGGTAGCGAGGTCTCTTCCTCTTACCTGATTGATTTTCTACCTTTCTCTCGGTTCCACCGTCGTCCTTATTCCTTCGATCTCGCCACTATTCACGAATACTCCTTTTCCTTACGTCCTTTTTATCCCCACTGGCCCCGAAGGTGCGACGGAGAGAAATCGAAAGAGAGAGAAAGAAAAACAGAGAGAGAATAGAGGCACGCCGAGCCTTCGGCATTTTAAAACGTTGCTCTTTTATAGTCCATACACGTTAAACGCGCTCGCCTTGCCGCGAGAGAGATCTCGACTACAGCTTCTATGATATATCGAGTTGCGATTTTCGAAGTTGTTGGATTTATTGTCGAAATAAAATTCTTTATCACACCATAAGAATATTTCGCGAAAGTATACTATAATAACTTAAGTAGTTACAATAATAATTAGTCTTAAAACAGAGAGACTTCTCGCGAGACGATACCTAATATCATTTTTATGAAAGTGGATGCTTCATTGAACAAAAAAATGCGACTTTCTCTTTTAAGAAGTTTTCTCTTTGAGGTGTAATTATTGACGAGTGTTTTTCTCTCAATAGCGTTTCGTTGAAGAATAGAATCAATCTCAGTCGATGTATGTGAGAAAATATTTTTCTCAAAATTTGAGAAGAATCACTGAGAAGAGAATATTATGTTGAAAGGTTACGGTGTCTTCGAGATTGCTTTCAGAGAGTAAATGAAATGTCAGGAAAACTGATAATGATGCAATTTCACGTTGTCATTGGTCTGTGCGTGTGTGTGTGTCGCTTCTCATTAACTCCACTCTTTTGTTATGTCATTGCATGTGTTTATTACAGTATTCGCTATGATTTGTTACAAATATATAATTTAATCTCTATGCATCAAAGACCCAAAGAAATACTACAAATAATAAAATTCGATTCGCATTTATTTATTATATTTCTTCTGTTCCATTGCGTTTCGCAATCATCGAGAAATTACATCGCAACTATCCAGTACCTTTGGGATTAGACGCAACCCTTTGGCAGCTGAAGGTTAGGTCGCGAGCTGAGAATCTCCCGAGGGTCAGCCGACACCCCGACTAGCAATGCGAGAAAAAAGACTCGCCCTACAGGTCGTCGGCTTTTACAGCGGGTACAGACTATAGGCTTCTCCTTACTTCGTGTGGCGCGCTTCTCTCTCTCCATACCTTCCACTCTCTCGCGCGACGGAGGCCGCATACCTCTTCAGGATGCAGTGTAGACCTGTCCATTGCCTCGCAGACACCGGTCTGAGTTCTCCTTTCGATCCGAAACGACGCCGATGCCGGATGAGGTCTGAGATAGTAGAGAGAGATCAGGCCCGCAGTTCGCTCGTTCTCCTTAGTTACTCATCTGCAGGTGCGTCATGCGGATACTTACGTCGTAAGTTTCGTGAGGCACGTTTGAGTGAATAATAATTCCGAACAGTGTGTTGCGAGAGTATAGCACGTGCGGTGTCGTGACACAATGAGGTGATAAGCCGTGTTGTGACAGCGCGGGAGCGAACTTTGAAAGGTGAGTTTCTGCAAGTTAATGAAGAAAATTGCGAAATAAACAACTGTATAATCTGCTTAATAAAACTTCAACGAACAAATGTTTTAATCGAAAAACTCTTTGATAATTCTCTTTTATTTCGAAGAAATTTCTTTACGCAGCAGGAAAAAATCTAACGTGTTGTAGTTGTCGGATATAAGTTTCAGATCTCTCGCAACGTTCGAAGTTTAAACGCTAATGTGTTGAGAATGTGTGTTAGACTTATTTAATTTTTTTTTTAAGATTAATTTAGCTCAAAGCAATAATAGAGAAAATGAGATACAAAATCGAAAAGTAGATCTGACGCGAATGGAGGAATCGGGGTCATCGATTGGATTTCGTTCCGATGACGATTTCTTCGCGCAGCGCTATTACCGCGTGCTTGTTTCTTTTGTCTGGCGCCATGTGGTGATGCGCGCAGAGATAATATTGGAATCTGTCGGTGTTATCGGGTTTCAGATACTTTTTATATTCTTATGACAAAACGAATGTTTTTTTATACAATATCAGAAAGAATGTATTTATAGAAATAAAGATAAATACTTTTGTATATATATATATATATATATATATATATATATAAACAAATTACAAGTAAATACATTAAAAATAATTAATAAATTATTATATTTTTATGAATGTTTTTGGGATTTAATAATGACATTCTCAAATGAATTAAAGACAAATTGACAAGTCTGGCGAAGCCATTTAAGTCCGATCGAATCATTGCCATTTTTTTCGTCATTCTGTGAAGAAACCAGTTTTGACCGGCAAGTTTGTAGCTTGGTTTCAAGAAACCGGTGTCAAGTCCGTAATGCGGGAAAAGTTACGTGGGCGCCGATTTTTAGACGGCAATTTCCGGTTGGAGAGCTACTTCCGGCAATTAAAAGAAACAAATTTCTAGAGATTATTTTTAAAAAAAGGAACAGAAATATTTTATATTCACAAACAATTGTATTAATGTGAGAATGGCGAGAATGTTTATTTTTGTATGTAAATTAATTCTTCTGTACATGGTAATTTGAAATTTTATGTAATTTTTTCTTGTGTAAAGAGAATTGTGCGTTTTTTTTGGAAAATTTCTATCAACTTATCTGTGTATCATTTTGCATTGATATCCTTTGCAAGGCGATCTGATGAAAGTGAAGACCTGCAAGAAGGTCTTCACGCAGTAGAGAATATTCTTTTTCTTCGTCATTCATCCTGGCGTCACCTGGTCACGTAGTGTCAGGATTCCAAGCGCGTAACGTAACGGAGACCGAGAAAGAGGGGTGTAACGGTTTTTTTCCATCTCTCTCACTCTTCCTCTATGTACCTCATCTCTGTCTTTTCTGCTACCTGCCCTACTTGCACTTCTCTCTCTTCTTGTTCGATTTAACTACATGTCTGTCTTCTAAATCAGACTATCAGTCTTGATTTCGTGTAGTCTCAAATTATTCATTAATTTTCAACGACAGAAAAATAATAATTGCACAAAACGGTTTTGTGCTATAGGTACAAAATATAGTTACAACAATCGCGATAAGCGAATGAAGTGTGTAACGATATGATACTTGTTCTACACAACTTGTGGCGACCTTTCGCAAGTGTTCGTTTCCAAACACTTTGCTGAAGAAGTTGCGTTCAGTTTTTCATTCGCGGTAATGCTGCGGCCGAAGGCATTCATTTTCTCGGTATCATTTTATAGTTGGCTGGCGGTAACGGTCGCTTCTGTTTAAGGTTCCCTACGTGTTGTAATCAGCTCGGCTGAAACCGTGGTCGCTCGCACGGTCATCGCCGTCACGGTTTTCGCGTCTCGCACTTTTCCGCATTGCTCCGAGCACGAGGAGAAACCGAGTTTGTTTTGAGATAACGCACACTGGTTCTCATTAACGTTGCGCATCACATTCCCAGCTCTGAATAAGCGGCGAAATGAATTACGAAATCGCGTAATCTTTCAAAAAATCTTTATCTCACCAAATTTAAATAGATCTCTTCTTTTCCTTTTGAATACAAATTTACATAAATTGTTCTGGCCTCACGTTCAGCAATTAAAATAATTTTGCGCAAAGGAATCTCTCTTTCAGTCGTATGATAATTACGAGTGTTTACTTTCATTACGTTCTTTTATAATTCTCTGCTCGTTTAATTTGAAAATTACATTCCGCCTATTTAAATGAGATGAAGCAACAATGATAAAAGCTATGTTACAATACAAACGAGTTTGTTGACGTTACATAATTTAACATAACTTAATTTATAATTATATATATATATATATATATATNTATATATATATATATATATTTATATATATATATATATATATATATATATATAGACTTATTAGTATCGTCTTCCTTTTCGGAGCATTGCTTCTTATCACATTATAAAATCACTCGCGTGTCTTACCATCGCTGCAGGAAATTGCATTACATCGCGTAAAACACGCGCTTTTTTTCCAACCGACGCACAAATAAGAGAAATTCGTGTTTCACAAATATATTTTAAAAATATATTACACAATAAGAGAATTGCATCCGAGTATCATTGATCGTATAAACCTCTTTCCTTCTCAATTGATAATTAACGTCTTCTAAGGACAATCCCTGACGGCTGCGGCTGATGCGGTTCCAGAACAGAACGCGGAAGTCGCGGTCGTTCTGCACGCATGAAGGCGTCGAGGAAATGCAGGGCGATTACCCCACGTTGTGTGTCATTGTTGCTCTCGCCGTCGTCATTTCTTTCTGGTAACGTTGTGTGTGTCGCGTCTTATCTGCCCACGCGATTCAAACGATAAGATGAAACTAACCACGACGCGTAGTTGTCTCTGCGGATGCTGCGTGGGAGCGTTAATTAATGCAACGAATATAATTAAGTCAATAACAGCGGCGCTCGCTCGAGTGTGATACAAATTTTCTCGAAATGGAATTTGATTTCTAACGACGTTTCACTCGGTGGAAAATTCATTCCGATATCGATTGCGAAGGTTGCCGAGAGCTTGTTTACGCAATTTCTTTTTATAGCGTTGTGTGTGTCGCGTCTCATCTGTCTACGCTATTTAAACAATAAAATGAAACTAATCATGACGCAAACTTGTCTTTGCGGATGCTGCGTGAAAACGTTAATTAATGCAGCGAACATGATTAAGTCAATAACAGCGGCGCTCGCTCGAGTGATACAAATTTTCTCGAAATAGAATCTGATTTCTAACGACGTTTCACTCGGTAGAAAATTCATTCCGATATCGATTGAAGAAGATTGCCGGGAGCTTGCTTGTTTGCACAATTTCTCTTTAGCGAAACGATGCGAAAAACATGATGCTAGACACAACAAATGTAATTTAAAAAAAAACTGTAATTACGTGTTTAATTAATTTTAATTAATTAATTTTTATTATATATACTCTTTCTCTCTCTCTCTTTCTGCTAAATTGCGTTTAGTAAAACATGAATCAATAGCAGGTGACGATGTGGTCGATTTTACTGCTGCTGATCTCCACGTGGTCTTCGTCATGGGGTCAAGTGATAAACAGAGCGCCCCATTTCGTTCAAGGGGGAGACATGGCCAGGCTGGCTATATCGGAGGGCACGCCGCCCGGTGCTCCCGTTTACACCCTTCAGGGAGAAGATCCTGAGGGATCCAAGTTACGTTACTCTATCAGCGGCGAGTACTTCACTGTAAACAGAAACACTGGTGTCGTGACTCTGAGAAAAGCTCTGGACAGGGAAACGCAAGATCTCATCGAAGTCATTATCAGTATAACAGGTAAAAAAAAAACAAAATAATGTTATATTAATAATTACTGTGTGACGAGGCCTCTTCGTCACTTGTACATAGACGTATATATTTATATTTTCTTCATTGTATTATTATATTATTATTATTCTTATTATTAGTATGATGATTTTTTCTTATATTATATTATTATCAGATTATAGTGTTGTATTATATTATAGTTTATCCTACCCGCTTATAGAATTAAGACAACCAACGCACACGTGTGCGTAATACATACACGAGCAAACGCGTGTCACGATGTGCCACGGCACAGGTGTGTGTCGCGGCGCGCAAACAAGCGCGCGCCGCACGCCGATCCCGGACGGATCATAGGCCGCTCTGGGTTATATAAGCCGACCAATTTCGATAGTCGGGACCAGTTTCCATCTCGAGCTCGAGGCGTTGTCTCGAGAGCAATTCTTCCTTGCAGCCGAGACGTTGTCTCGGACTTAGAAAATCCTCTTCGGTCGAGGCGTTGTCTCGACAAATCCCGGTGCCAGAGGCGTTGTCTCCAGCACATCCTGACCGTCCGGTCGAGGCGTTGTCTCGATCAACCTCGGCACTCCGGCGCACGTCATCTCCGTCGGCTCCACGAGCCCCGGAGACAAATCGGCCACAATCAGTCGTTTTTACGACCAAGAGCATCTCTCGCTGTACACTCGGCGTCATGGATTCGTTTCGTGGACGCGGGGGGCTAAGGGTAAGAAGGACGGTATTTCCTAGCAGTAGGTAGCGTGAATAGGCGCCATATCGATAATGTCAATGCTTTCCTTGACTAATTGCGTCTCAAAACGTAAAACTATCGGCCATTTAACAGCCAATGTTTCACAGATACATATATACGACCAATAGTTTTACGTTTTGAGACACAATTAGTCAAAAAAACCATTAACGTTATTGACACGGCGCTCGTTGGCGTTACTCACTGCTAGGGAATACCGTCCCTCTTACCTCCAGTCCCGCGTCCACGAAACGAATCCATGACGCCGAGTGTACACACGCCTCGCTGTACATATATATCCTCTCCCTCCCGTATAGATTTAGATTAAATATAAGACCACCGCGCCGTGATTCACACTCGCGCCTCCGACTTAACTTACCCGCGCCGACGTAGCGTACCGTACCGAACCGCTACCGCGCACCGACAAACTCACCGATCAAGGTCTGTCTTCTTGTAAAACCACTATTCAATAGAATAAATCAGTTCAGCTCGTTAAATTAATAGAAATCACAAGAGTGTCGCAATTTCACGCCTTCCCCTCTTCCTGAACCTTGGCACGGTGCTGTCCCGCAGGCGGAAGACCGGGCGAAGCCGATAGGAAATCCGGCTCCGTTACAACTGTAAAAATTAAGCGGAAATATAGCGCGAAAAGTCTTTATTTCTCAATAAAAAAAAACATGAGGAAAATCTATGTAATTTAGATTTGTCAAATTCGTCTGCGTTTCAGATGAAGGTATTGCCGGATCAGAACCTAACACGATATCTCTTCGTCGCGAAATAGCGGTGCTCGACGAAAACGATAATCCACCGGTGTATCACGATCGGCCGTATGCGGCTAGAGTGCCCGAGAGTTCGCACGTAGGCAGTCTGCTGCTTCCTCAGGGCTCGATCATGATCACAGATCGAGATGGCGGCGTCAATGCCGACGTTCATGTGCAATGTGTCGCGACGTCGCGCGATGACGATGTCTGTGAAATCTTCGAAATCGCTACGGAGAAGGTAATTATTTATATAATATTACGATACAGTATATAAAATAATAATGTTTGTGTCTAAAGTTATAAAAAAATTTAAAACAACATTAAGGTATTGGATTTACGGTTTGAATTCTTCCAGCTGGGTGAAGGAAAATACGACGTACAGATTACGTTGGTAAAACCGTTAGACTATGAAAGGAGAAATTCGTATTTGATTAATCTGCTGGCTGTCGACGGTGCCAGCGATCCGTCAAAGCGGTTGCAGGCCAGAGCGACCGTTGCAGTTGATGTTCTCGATGTTCAGGTAAGTAGGTCTCGATCAACGTTGAAATAACCGTATGTAACTGGCCGGCAGTCATCCTTACATTGGATAATAACGTCGTTTACGGTGAAATTAGCGAGGAGTCATCAACCTCTGTTATTCAATCTCTGCTTGTCAGTGTCCGTCAATGCTGTCAAGTGGGGAATTATCTGTGTCGCGCGAGTAACATTTAAGATTTTTTCGCATCAAAGTATTAGGTATTTGCTTATTTTACATTTCTTGCGCCATCGAATATCCGATGGCGTTTCACGAGTTAATAAATTTAATTTTGTAAATTTTTTTAATTTATTTTAAAAATAAAATTTTATGAGTGGATTGTGCTAGTTTTTTTTGTTTGTTTTAATTACGTTTTGCGTAAATCTATCGCGCAGGATCAGCCACCTATTTTCCTGAATGCGCCTTATAACGCAGCGCTTCCGGAAAATACCGCAGCTGGTCACACGGTTTTGATGGTGCGAGCGCGTGACGGTGACATGGGCCAGCCGAGAAATCTGTTGTTGACGTTGGAGGACGAAGCTGCGGGCCACTTCGATCTAGAATTATCCCGGAAAAACGACGTCACCATTGGCAAGCTGATCACGACCAACGTGTCTCTCGATCGCGAGGATCCAAGGATTCTGCAGAACGGCGGCATTTACACTTTCAAAGTTAAGGCCACCGAGATGATCAACAACGAGATACCAGCTGACACCGCTACGTCGGTTATTACGATTGTCGTCACGGACATGGACGATCTCGCGCCCGTTTTCAACGAAGAGTTCTTCAGCATCAAGATCTCCGAAGATATTGGAACTGACACTCCACTACCAGGTTCTCAAATGCTGAATATTTCGTATCAATGATTAAAAATAAAATGTTGCTAATGTTGTTTAGTTTTTATATTAGCAGAGAAAGAAATAGAAATGCAATTTGTTTTGTTTGCTCGTATTCTTGTCTTCTGCAATTTAAAGATAATTCTATCGTGTAACAATATTATGATTAAGCAGGTTTGAACATGATTGTGAGCGACGATGACGTGGGCGACAATGCAAGATATTTTCTGGCGTTGCGAGACGCGCCTGCATATCCGGGAATCAGCAAGGCGTTCACTGTCAATCCCGAAGAGGCTCAGGGTCGAGTACCGGTAGTGATCAAGGCTAAGGACGTCGGTGTTCTCGATTATGACGTTGACAATCCCGCGAGAAAGGAACTCGAGTTTGAAGTCGTCGCGACTGTAGCGAATAAAGTGGTAAGTTTTTTAAAAGTTTAATTAAAATATAAATAAAACTATTTTTTTTTAATACTATATTACGATGTTAGTCACACATGTGAGGCATATTTTATTGCTGCAGGTGGCCATTTCCAGAGTGCACATTCAATTGTTGGACGCCAACGATCACAGTCCCGAATTTTCTCAATCGGTGTACAAATTGTCAGTTTCGGAAGACGCGGAACCCGGATTGCGTTTTGGCGACGTTTCCGCAAAAGATTACGACAGCGGATCTTTCGGCGAATTGACGTACACGCTTCGAGGTTTCGGCGCGGACAAGTTCAGAACCGATTCGCAAGCAGGAGGTATATTTGTGTCGAAGAAACTGGATTACGAGACGCAAAAGTCTTATTCCTTGACGATGGAGGCGAAGGACGGCGGTGGCCGAGTGTCCGCCGTCAATATTCTCATCGAGCTTGATGATGTCAACGACAACAAGCCAGTATTCGAACAAACGGAATATTCCAGAACTGTTCGCGAAGGCGCCACCAGTTTCGATCCACAAATGTTCGTCAGGGCGACTGACATCGATGGACCCACGCAGGGCAATGGAAAAATCGTGTACTCGATCGACCGACATAACAGTATGACCGACGATGTCTTCAAGGTTTGTTTATAGAAATGTTTTACACTTAAAAGTAAAACATAATATATGCCATACACAATCGTTATAATTTATGTTACATATAATTCTTTCTTGTCGAAAAATCTTCAGATCAATCCGGATTCAGGTGAGATAACCATGTCGAGGCCGGTTCGTTCCGGGGATACTGAAAGAGGGATTTACGAATTGATAATTCGCGCGACGGATACTGGCACATCGCCTCTGTATTCCGAGGCGAAGCTCTTGGTTCGCGTTGGCGTTCCCGGAAATCAGAAACCAATCTTCCGCGGAAACTACAAGTCGAACTTACCGGGTCCCAGCACCTATCGAGCCAGACTCTTGGAGAACGCGTCTCCCGGAACGGAAGTTATTCGGGTGATCGCTAACGATCCCGACGGAAGGGACAACTTGCTGCAATATTACATCGCGTCCGGATCTAAAGACAATTTTGTCATCGATTCCAGGTGAAAATATTATAATTCAATTAATTTTCTTCCGTTTTATCAAGCGAGATTTAACTTGAGTCAACTTTTGTTGATTGTACAGTTCCGGCATCATAACTGTGTCACCTGATGCTCGCCTGGATCTGGAAACTGGTGGTGAGAAATACGAGGTGATCGTGTACGCCGTTGATTCTGGCACACCTGTCAAAGAAACAGCTACAACTACTGTCACTGTAAACATTATCGACGTGAATAACAAACCGCCGACTTTCAATGAATCTACGTATTCGGTTTATGTCTCGGAACGCGCAGCTATTGGTACGTGTCTCTCTTCGTTGTTGAATTTAATTTGTTTTACAATTAATCAATGCTTATACAAACACATATAGAAGCGTAATTTGCCGATTATATTGAATATAAATAATTTTATGCGTACAGGAGAGCCCGTGTTAAAAGCGGTAGCGACCGATCCCGACGCAGACGCGAACTTGGAGTACTCTCTGGTGGAGCCCATAAAGGCTGTCGACAAAACCGGTGTGGCGTTAAAAAGCACAACTCCTTATGATTACAAAAACGCATTTCGAATAAACTCCGCGACCGGTTTGATAACAGTCAATCAAGTATTGGATTATCAGGTAGCTGCTGTCATAATACTGACGGTGCAGGCGCAGGACTTGAACGCGGTCGTCGACAAAAACGCTCAAGTAGCGAAAATAGATGTGACCATTTACATTCAAGCTTACAGCGACGACAATCCGACGTTCACCAATTCGGGATGGTCACCCAACAATCCGACGATAAAGATTACGGTTCCGGAAGAACAGCCTCTGGGCACAACGTTGTTGATGCTGTCGGCAAAAGAGCCGACAACCGGTGATTTGGTTCAAAGATTTGAACTGGTGAGGAAAGACGACGACGAAAGCTACGTCAATGTAGGCGTTCAAAGTGGCAATGTAATACTGAGCAAGAGACTGGATTACGAAACGTTGAGTGAGAAGGTAAAAAAATTTCACTGCTCTATAGTGCCTGATCAGCCTGATCAGGGCCTAATCTGGCAACCTGATCAGGGCTTAATCTGGCAGCCTGATCAGGATCGAATCTGGTAGCCTGATCAGAGCTATTTGATACGTAGCGTTACATTCCGCATTAGGGCCTGATTAAAGCACCGGATCCGTGCCTGATTTGGAAGTAGGGCAAGCCATATGTGGATCTAATGAGGGCCCTATATAAATTTCTACTCGAGATGCTATCAAATAAAACACATATTAATTATTTTATGTTAATCTTTTGGTGCTATTTATATTTGTTTTCAGTTTATTCGCTTCAGAGTACGGGCCCTTGCCAGAGATTACGACATAACGCGAAAGATGTCGGAAGCCAATGTGATAGTCGAGATTCAGGATATCAACGATAACAATCCGGTATTCGCTCAAAAAGACTATAAAATTTCCGTATTGGAGTCGGCGAAGCCCTTGAAAATTGTGTTGAACGTAAAGGCGACAGATATGGACAGTTCTGACACCGAACAGGAAATCAAGAGGGGGTACGGCGAAGTGAGATATTCATTGACCGGTGAAAACGCCAATCTTTTCGAAGTGGATCCCATATTGGGCAATATTCAGGTAAAAACTTTTAATAATGTCCTACTTTTCGCAAATTATCCTACCAGAAACAACGTGCGCGTAGCGCGCGCCTGTGCTGTGCTAGTTAATTTAAAAAAGCATTTATAAAATTAAACAAAAAGAAAATACTGTTGTAGATCGCCGCGAACACGACTCTCGACAGAGAGAGACAATCGGTTCTGCGTTTCTACGTCGTGGCGTCGGACATGCCTCAAGGCGGAGCCGAGCAACGAAGCAATCGAGCTTTGGTAACGGTTGACGTTCTCGATGTTAACGACAACGCTCCTACTTTCGAACAGGAATCTTACACAGCGGTTATCCCGGAGAATGCGCCAGTAAGAATCAGCGTGGTGAACATTACAGCTACCGATCCTGATGAAGGAGATGGCGGAATAATCCACTTTGAGATAATCGACGAAGGCGAAGCCAATGGTAGAATTTAAAGTGACGACAAATAATAAAATGCTTTGTTAAATTAAAAAAAAAAAATTGTAGAAATAAACTTTTGAGGATTTACTAAAAAAAAATTCTGTTTCCAGGATTGTTTAAGATAAATCACACAACGGGTGAGATTTCTTCGGCGAAAGCACTGACGGGCAAAGGCAGAACCGAACCTTATAACATGCGAGTACGAGCACAGGACGGAGGTAAACCTTCTCTTTACGCGGATGTGGGTCTCACTTTATACATCGGCGATGTAGTGAGCAACGACGGCGTGCCCCTATTCATCAGACCGACATTGGAAGAAGTGGCTTACGTGGCTGAAAACTCCACGATCGGCAGTCCGGTGTTTCAAGTAGTGGCGTCCGATCCTGACGATCCGAATCTACCGAACGGCAAGATCACGTTTCGCTTCTTGGAGGACGGCAATTTCGGCAAGGACACGAGTGCGTTTAGAATCAACAGCGAGACCGGGCTGATCAGCACGCGGAAACTGCTCGATCGAGAGGTGAAAGATAGCTACACGCTGATCCTGGTGGCGCAGGATCTCGGCGAACCGCCGCAGCAGGCGACTCGAGTGCTTCAAGTGATCGTGAACGATATCGACGACCACAAACCGCATTTCAAGCGCAGCTTGGACAGTCCGCCGATCGAGCTTAGCGTTCCGGAAGAGATGCCGGTAGGTACCAAAGTCGGCGTGATCGAAGCAATCGACGAAGACATCGGCGAGAACGGCATGATCGATTACGAGATTGTGTACGGGAATGAAGCGAGGCTCTTCGTTGTGCAGCGGCTGGAGAACGAGTCCGCCGTCATCAAAACGAACGGTCGTCTCGATCGAGAAACCGCCGAGTCTCACTTATTGACTATCAAATGTTTCAAGTACTCTTCTAAAAAATTGGATGTAGTGCCAAAACCGTATAACAGACAAGACCCGTCGGAAAGACAGGTTCTCGTCAGAGTTCTGGACGTCGACGATAACAAACCGCGCTTCAAGAAAAACAATGTAACTCTGGGAGTTCGGTTGAACGTGCTGATCGACACCAGCCTGATCACTCTGGAAGCTTACGACGCCGATTCCGGTGCGTTGCCGATCACCTACAACATGAGCAAAGTGTCTTTCACGTCCCTCGTCGATCCTTCCATGTCGAAGGAGGAAGTCCCGCCGCAGTTGTCCTTGAACACGCGCACTGGCGAGCTCAGAACGACCGGCTCAATGGCAGCATACGCGGACGGTTTCCTGGAGATGATCGTGTCGGCGAACAATTCGATGACGCCGGGACGCGAGACCAACATTACCGTGCGTATCTTTCTTCTGCGCGATCGCGACATGCTGAAATTTGTGTTCTCGAAACCACCGGTCGAAGTAAGAAAAACGTTGGAAGACTTCGAGCAAGCGGTTCAACAGGCGCTCTCACTGCCAATCAGCGTAAACGTTTACGACACGCAGTTCTATTCGAAGGAAGACAACTCTCTGGATTTCTCGTCCACCAGCTCCTGCTTCCAAATGGTCGGTAAAGAGTCCTACGATCTGAACGAGATGCGAGCGTTGCTGACCGATCCGAAGAACGAAGAACTGAAAAAGGTATACAGGAAATATCACGTGGAAAAGGTGCAACATTGCGCCGCGATGGTAGCTCGCGCCGATGCTTCTATGACGCAGATATGGGTTCTGGTGATTGCAGTCCTCGTCGGCATCGCTACTATAATTTCCAGCTGCACGTTGTGTTTCATGCACGCGAGGTAATAAATTACAACAATAAAAATTTTATTAACAAGTTTCTTTATTTATTACAAAAAAAGAAATAGAAAACTTGATAAAATTTTAATATTCATTTGACAATAGTATATTCTAGTTTTTTATCGATTTTGTTTAAGTCTTATAGTCTTGTTTTAGTAAAATAATGTATTTTTTTATAATCCGTTATTACTCGCTATTACTCATGTTTCTCATCTTCATTCATTTAAGATTGCATTTGGCAGTGAATGCGTTAAGGTCATCCGCATATTTTCGGACCTGGTTTTTTTTGTTACCTTGAGAGCCTTTGGCGTCGTTTAGAAAGGAGGTCGAGACAAAAATGTCGCAACATGTGTTTCTCTTTCAGATATAAACGGCAAGTAAAACACGCGCGTTTGCGCGACCAACCGCGACCGCCTCTGAGTTATGTGTCTTCCGGACCGGCCATAGTTAGCGCTGGGTCTCACACGACTCTGGGCCCGAGTACGATGGTCACATTAAGCCCGCACGAAGGTCCGTACGAGTGGGGAGCGGACACGACGCTTTATCATCCGAGTACGTTAGGCTCGAGAGCGTAGAGATTCAAGGAGATATTGAAAATGATTGTGGTCTTATATAAGAACGAATGTGAAATGATTCAATGGTGCTATATTTGTAAAAAAAATGATTTAAGATTATATACATGTATAATAAAGTATTATGAGATTTGTAAAATATAACGAGATGCTACTTCGAGTAATTTAAGATTAGTAACTCATGCATATTTTCGAGTATCATGAGCGCATAGTATCGTTAAGTTCTGAACGTTCTGCTTTTATGTAAAATAAATATCATATTATTTATATAAGATAGACTAGAACGCTGTACATTTCATTTATAATCGAAAAGACGTGTATTTTTAAGTTTGTAAAATTTTGTGTTGTTCGCTTCAGTTTCGCGTGTTTTAATGTTTGATAAAAAAAAATAAATAAACGTATTATATTTACATGTGTTTTTTAAATATTTTCTCTCATTAGTGTGTATACAAATATCACAAAATAAAAATAAATAAATAAATATTGAATATTAAAATTTTTACGTAAATATTATATTTCGTTTAAAAATCAAAATTGTAAATGATCGATAAAGAGGACAAACAAATTTATACACAAGCTCCGTGCATCATTTAAAAGACCGGTGGCCGACAAAGATCTCACATTTGTTCGCGTGGTAGAAATTTTTGAACGTCTGCGAACGAAAATGTCAAGGTAAGGAAGCTGTCTGGACGGGATTCACATGCAGATTATAAACGCAAAGTAAAACACATTAAAATCAACGACCACGCGTGAAAAGCATTGACGTTATGTATTTTTTTTTTTTCAAAAACGCTCATACAATTGTCGTACAATTATTACAATATTTTTTCGACTTTTCGATCAAATATATTCTTTATTAAATTTGATATTTTATAAAAAAAATATTGAAAAAGTCTATAAGAAAAAAATAAACTGGGGTTAAATCTCAAACAAAATTAAGAGAACAACTAAAGTATATTTTATTAAACAAAATATAACAATATTGCATCATACCTAAATCATACTGTAAAAGTACATTTTAATTTAAATAACAACATCGCGCGTACGTCTTTTCCGCTTACGTAATACCAGAATATATATCCCATAAGTGAGTAAATTATCAAAGAATTTTGATAGCCTTCTTATGTGTGTGAAAAAAAACTCACTCTTCGATGTTTCTGATACTTTCACTTTGGCGTGGGAGATCGCGATTGAAACGTCGTGGTTTACGACCCTTCGGTGGTATCGATATCCTTCGAAAGATCCATACTTTTGTTTGTGTCGGCCTTCGGGTTGTCGATCACCGTTGTGTTGTCGCAATTTGCACAATCCTTCTCCGTAGTTACTATCAGTTTTTGCGCGTCAATTTCATATTTCTCCGTGCTGGCATAATCCTCGTCGACGCTTACTTTATGATTTGGCGGCACCGTAATATCCTCTTTAATGCTGTCATCCTCATTATAAGGTTCTACGTATGCTTCTGAATCATTATCCATTTCGAGACTAACATTCTTCTCGTTTTTATCGTCGAGATTAATCTCCTGATATCGCGTCAACGGTAAACTCTTTGCCTCTGTGTTTCGATTCTCTTCTTCGAACTTCGCTTCTTCGATCGCGGAATGATCGGTCAAATGTTTGGCGATCGATTCCAAGGGAGTCATTATCTTCTTTGCGAATTGCTGTCGTTCCTCGGGTCTCATCAATTCCGATCTATGGATGATATCGTGTCTAATAAAAAACAATAGGTTTTAATAATCAGAAAAATAAAAATTGTTGTAACTAATAAACACGGAGAAAATTTTTGAATATTTAACATAATTTTCAACAAGCAAACTTTATGGATAGGAAATATCAATAAAGAAAATTGCACCTGTTGAGTTTATTTTTTTTTCGTGGATACAAGTTCAGATGAAATATCATCTGTTGTCTTTCCTCTTCTTCCGGTAGGGTCGTAGGGCTCGGCATCGCGACAATTGGGATCGGTTGCGGATGTGATGCGTAAAATTTTGGCCCGCGATTGAATTGGAAGGGTCTTCGGGGTTCGTAATCGTCCACGGCGGGTGTTTGCGGCTTGAGCCACGAGTTCTTCTTATTCTGCTCAACAATGTCGGTGATAGGATAAATGTCGAGCATCACACTGAACGGTTTCGGCTTCCGGTTTTTTCCCAAACTATTCGTCGAGTAGGAACCGACGTTCTCGTACTGCGGTTCCGTTAGGGTCGGTTTGTTGTAATTGAACAAAGGTTGGGAGTACAAAGAATTGTAGTGAGGACTGTAACGGTGTAGTCCGGTCGGTGCAAATCTAAAGGAAAAGTAACATTTTAATTAAAATGACGGTGTCTGTGTGTTCTTTTTATTTTTTTTTAAATCAATGTTTATTTTAAACTCAACAAACCTCACGTTAGACGTGGCCAAGAGATTAACGTCCGCTGGATGTTTCGGTTTATATTGATAAAAGGGATCGTTATTGTACGCATTGCTCGAATAGTAAGGCGTCTCGTCCTCTTCGGATTTATCGCTGCTCGACATCATCTCACCGAGACCTGGGATCATATCGTACTTTTTCGGATTTACGTAAACGCCTGTGAACTTGATACCTCGATCAGCTTCAGTTGTCAGATACTTGATGATATCCTGGATGTTCTTGGACGACTGCGGATATCGATATTGCGATAGCTGCGGATATCTCGACCGTTTGAACGACGACGGATACGGTGTTTTAAACTCCCAGTGAAACGGCGTCGGCTGAGCCTCTTCCATGCTTTCGTCTTCGTCAGAATCCGGATGTTTGTATCTGACCCAAGCAATAAAAAAAACCGCCGGCTACTTGTGTGTAAACATTTTTTTAAGTGTTACGTAAACTTTCGCGATATTTTAATACTCATGTGACAATGGAAGACAAACGACGACTTCTCTCTGTGTGTAATATGCAACTGAAGAAATTATTTAAACGTTACCTAAGATGTGTAGAAAGTATATTTCTGGAAATCGCGAAGAGAATGTCAATGATATTTAAACTTTCGGAGATTGTTGATCGAAAAATGTCAATCCGGTCATTTGATACTGACTTTTGAACGCGCGTGGTGTGTGTCAATTCTTCTCGTTTTTACATCGCACATAAAGGTCACTCATCTTGTCAACTACTTGATTATTTAATCTAAATTGCATCTCACCTATCATCCGAATTAAAAACACTTTCGGATCTTAACACTCTGACGCATTTTGATGGATGACAGTTGGAGAAAGCAAACAAGTTATCGAGATAATTCCTGTATCAATCACACGACAACGTGTGTGTGTGTGTATATATATATGTATGTCGCTCACCTTTGTCTCACTCGATACATGATTGCGTGATTGTCAAACAATTGCTTTGCTTCAGGCTCTTCGTTTTCATTCGCATCTTCTACGGATTTCATGACTCTCTTTCTCTGTTTGAAATTGTGGAGATTCTGCGCTCTCATCTCGGGTTCGCTCGGTATCACAATGCGAGTCTCGACCGGCAACATGTCGCCCGTTGCGTTTTGTTGTTGCATAAAACCTTCGTAGCCCTCATCGTCCGAACGATCTTCTATGGAAAGATTGTTCGCACGATTGATCGCCGCATCAAATGGAATAGTCGAGTTCGCGGATTTTCTCGAGAGATTGATTGATTTTTTAAGAGCATTTTGTAGGATATATATGTGCTTTGTTTCCTGATTGATCTTACTGTTTCCTGATGTAACCGATGTAAAATCGTACATAAATATTGCCACCTATTAAAATACAATAAAAACTTTAAATTGGATTTGATTGCGGAAAATTGCACGAAACAATTAGACAAAAAGATTGATTGAAGTGTATAAAATTTCAATCAACATGGACATTAACGTTGTACTACTTTTTAACGGAAACGGCACAATATCGAATCTTGTAATAAATTTTATAAGTTTCGAGAAAGAAAACGAGCGACGATAAATCACAAGATCGCAAACAAAAGATAAATTCGGGGGCAACGATTTGTTCAGCCGGAACTAGTTGCAATTAATCTTGCTTCAAAATAACGAACGTCGGTTTGTACGTGCTAAAAAAAAATACGGTGTAACGCCCTATATGTGAAGCACGCCAGAAATCTTTGTTCGCTTGACTCGCCATGCATGGAAGGGGATATTCAAAGATTCGCGGAGAAATTACTGCTCCATACACACACCTTCAACATTAATTATCGGAGAAAACGTGTGAGCCGCTATTATGCCCATTGTTCCTCGCGCGTGAAAAAAGAATTTGCGAAAAGTTCCACACACGCCGTTTATAATTGTCCTTATCCTTCTGACGAGTGCAACAAAATCGTGCGAATTTAGATTTGCGTCGCAAATCACTAAAGTATGCAAACGTTTCATAGTGCAAGGTCATTGTCCTTATAGAAAGTATAGAACATGTGTCAAAATCACAAGATCACGATTTGTATACATACGGGTAAGTGTAATAAAGTCAGTATCATTTTGTTTATTTAATTTTATATAACGCATTTTTACTATTTAAAAAAATGACTTTTTGACAAAAGTTTTTACTAGTGGGATATAATGTTAGATTGTTTTTTTTATTACCCACGTCAATGGAAGCCGAAAACGCTTTGAACCACAATTAATAATAATAATAATATAATTAATAATAATATAATTACTTACCAATATTACCGTTACCACCACCATAACTACGATCGCGAGCTTTTTTACGATCAGACCGTATCGACTCCTGTTATATCGATCTCCGCGATCAGAATAGAGTCCTAACTCGGATGTACTTATAGCGGATCTCCTACTGGTCTCAAGCATCGCCTTCCGTGAGGTCTGAGAGCTGACAGTGTCCTTTACGATTACACAATGGCGATATTAAATATTCTTAACTAAACTAGCTTACCGATGACATGCTCGTGTGCCTTACAGTAATCGATCGATTTATTTCACCTTGTCATTGTGTAATTGCCAGATTTAATTGCAAAGAACTAATACAAAATTTCTCACTGATATGAAGTTTTTTTTCTCTCTTTAATCACTTTGACAAACAAGAAATTTACCGCAGCTCGACAATAATCTTTGTATATAGAGCACGCGATGTTGCTCTCTCAATGCGTACAACACAACTAACGATCGCATTTCTCAGCTTGTAGTTTTCACCGCGGCGATTCTATCAGCAACGATAGAGATTTCCTTTGTTTGTGGGGGAGGCTCGTTATGGTAAGTAGAAGGCAGGTGGTTATGGGCTACTTATTTCGTTGCCAGACGTGAATGCCACCGAGCTCAAACGGTATGGTGAGGAAAAATCTCTCGCACTGTCTCGGTGCTTGACTCGCTAAATACACTTCTAACGCTCCATTTTCACTTGTACATACGCTCGTCAAAGCACAGCGCATTCTTGCTTTTGAGATGTGCGTTTTCCTCTGCATACGCGTATTTAAGAATAATAGAAAGCGAACGGTGTGTAAGACTTAAGAGTTTAATATATTATACTATGGATATACAAAATTATAAAAATATAACTCTGTCAAGAAATCTTTGACTTTTTGTGTTAGAATAATTATTTTTATTCCTTAAAAATATATCACAACACAATTGTGACATTGACTTAGATGTTATGGCCTGAAAATATATTCACAAGTCGTAAAACCATTTATTTATCTAAATATATTTTATATATGCATAGAACATATATATTACATGCTAATTTATGTTAATATTTAAGAAAACGTTAAATGTATTTAAAACTTCATCTCAATTACATTCTTTTTTTTACATTTTTTTTTTTTTTACATTTTAAGTTGCCTTACTTGCCTTAATTTGTAATCGTGTTCAATCTTAAAACTTGTTTTAATTTTACTAAGGTAGAAGAATGAATATTTTCAAGACATTTTAATTGCTTGCAAAAAACCAAAGCTTAAAAGATGTTTAATAATTTTTTATATACAAGACATGTATTGTCAAAGTAAACATAATAAGTTGAGGCAGAAAGGTACGCTGGTGATATTTTTATACAAAGTTTTTATTCCTTTCCGCACTTATACATAAAAATTCTGTGATGGTCTAAATTCTTGTTCGAGAAAAATGCAGTAAGTGATTGATAAAAAAAAAAAAGACAATACTCTAAATGTTCGGCAAGCGACTCAGCGATCATTTATCTTTAAATACTTTTTTTTTAATATTATGCGTGTATACTAGCAAATATTAAAACTTCGCAACTTCTTTGCTTGACAAAGAAAGTCAAGTCGCCCGCGTCACTGACTCTCTTGCTTTCTGTTTCTCTCTCTTTCTTTCTCTCTTTCATCGAGTTTCAAAGGGAATATCAGGAATCGGATAATTATAGCCTATGTTCTTTGCAGTTGTAGGCGGTAAAGTTGGCGGTGGTGCTGGAGAACCAGTTGGTGGTGGTTCTGTTGGCGTGCTAGGTGTACGGCTATAAATTGGCGTAGGTGGCGGAGGCGGTGTTACCGTAACGTAGGTTGGTCTTGGACTCGATGGTGGGAGATATGGTAGTGGTCTAGTTGGAGTAAATCTAGTAGTACTAGGTGTAGTGTATACGGTAGTAGAAAGAGCTGTAGTTTTAGAAGGTTGAGTACTGGGTTGCGTAGATCTTGTAGTAAATCTTGTAGTAGGTTGTGTAGTATATCTCGTGGTAAATCGTGTAGTAGGTTGAGTAGTGAATTGCGTAGGAGGTTGCGTAGTAAATCCTGTAGTGAGTCTTGTAGTAGGTTGTGTAGTATATCTCGTGGTAAATCGCGTAGTAGGTTGCGTAGTAAATCTCGTGGAAGTTACCGGTGGAAGATAGCTAGGTGGTTGCGTAGATGGGGTATATCTTTGAGTAGTAAATTGTGTTGTAAAAGGTCGAGTAGTTGTTGGTGGCGGTGCATAAGTAGAAGGTCTGGTTGGAGGTGGTGGAGGTCTTGTTGGCGGTATATAAATAGGAGTCCTGGTTGAAGGTGGTGGAGGTCTAGTTGGTGGAGGTGCATACGTAGGAGGCCTGGTTGGAGGTGGTGGAGGTCTAGTTGGTGGAGGTGCATACGTAGGAGGCCTAGTGGGTGGTGGTGGAGGTCTAGTTGGTGGAGGTGCATATGTAGGAGGCCTAGTGGGTGGTGGTGGAGGTCTAGTTGGTGGAGG